CACACCACTGTTCCACGAGGATTATTTGCGCTTGAGTTTACAGGTGCTATTCCACGTTATTGGAACTTGCGTCAAAGTCTGGAGAACTAGTTGGTGCGAGTTAAGAGCTAATCGTTCGAAGCAAGCGTTATTGCTCGCCTTGGTATTGTTTTCACGATAATATGTACCGCGAAAATATCCTACGCTATAGAGAGATAGATCATACGTAGGTGGAATACAGGAAAACGCCAGACGGAAAAGAGAAATAATTGATAAGTAAAAGGAATCTAACGGAAAAATGTTGCAGGGGAGGGTGAAGAATTTCTACTTCGACGACAGTGTAATGTACGTTATCTGCTTCACGAGAGCACTACGCGCACGCGAGCTTCTTGATCCTGACTTCTTTAATGGGTGAATTGTTGGAAAACGTGAAACGATTTTGTGAATAATTCTCTCGACGTTATACGTATGTATGTATGTATGTACGTGTAAGATGCTGTCAGGGATACGGTATTTTTTCCCGAAAGTCAGGAAACGTCCGCGTTTCAACGTCTAATTTCGAAAGTGAAAGTTTTGATTTTAGCGTTGTAATAAAACGTAGAATTGGAAATTTTTCGCGGAAATTGGTCGCAGGAAATTGTATGCACGAATTTACGGACCACTTTGGTAAAATTGAAAAATGGCAAATCAAGGACGATTACGCAAAATAGGAACATTCTGTTTAGATATCGATCGAAATATATCAAAGGAGATTGGGGAAAACAGTCGGAATCAACGATAATTGAAGCTTACAAATAAGAAATAGAAATAAAGGGCTATCGTAAACTATAACGGTATCCTTTAAACGTCGATCGTCGATGTCAACAGAGATCTACGAGGATTCTTGCAGAGGTATTCTCACGTTTTTATGTCTCGTACGAGTCACGAGTCAGAATCAGAATCAGAATCAATGATATTGAGTACCAATCGTGGTGGCGATACTTGCGCCTAACGGAATACGAACGTGAATTCTCGTGGTATTTTTAGTACTCGTCGACTGGTGAACTGGCAGCTAACGTATAGATTGTTGCACCCCTGCTCCATTATGATTTATCTCGTTAAACGGCACGACGAACGCGTCTCTATTTACGCCGAGTCGTCGCATCGAGCTCGATCGCGAGTTGCGACCACCGTCTATCTATCCGTCTCTTTTTCTGCGCAGGACAAGATAGACAGTGTACGAGCTGCTTTGGAATTTCGCGCGACACATCGCATCGGTATACAGGTAACGTTCGCTGCACCATCTAATCCGCGTACTCCAGCGTGTTCCGTGTTCGAGGCATTCGTGCGCGTTAGACACCACTCGCCAACGCAGAATAAACGACTCGCGGTTTTTTTAACCAATCAAACGAATCGGAGACTAGCGGAGAAAAGAAAATTCCAGTAGATCGACATTGGGAAAATCGAGCAGCTCGTAACGAAGACGATCTCGGTGAAATTTTTCACGCTTTTTACATATTAACGTATTCCGCTAACCAGAGAAGAGGCTTATAACACGATCGAATTGTTGGTAGGAAAAACGCGTAAATCTTCGTCTTAAGCGTTGTAACTCGATACGTTCGTTAAACACCGAAACATCCCTCTCATTTACCTCTTAGAATTCAGCAATTTACATACGCACAAGATGTCGCGCGTTGATTCGTACAGTTAGTATTCGTTAAGTGCGACACGAGTCACGCGCGCTACGTCACGTTTGCTTGCGATTCTAAATCGATACAGGGTCGTCTAAATTCCTAATGTAATCGCGACAAGTGTCGTTGCATCGCGACGAGCGAACCGATACACGTAAAAAGAATGCCTTTCTTCTGTCCGCTTTCGAAAGTGTCGAGACAACCGATGGCTACGTCGTAGCGGTAGTTTTCGCATTAAACGAGCTTCACGTTTAATTTTAGTGTATGAGAGTATAGTACCTAATAAATTTCCCTAGCCTAGGTTCCCAAACCTAGCAAATAGATCGACAAAGAGAGATTTTTTTTTATACCAAATTTGAAGTAGATGCATTCGCTTTTCTATATAAGATTTGGATGAAACTTACGGAGTTTCGGTGATGAAAAGATTTGGAGTTTATGCGTACTCGATAATTTCCGTTTCATCCGACGGTGTAAGGTGTAAAAACACTTTTCTCGCGTTTAAAATAGAATAACGATATCTGGTATAGCGCGACGATGAATACAGACGGTATCGTGGACTAATCGCAAGTTGCGTCGGTTGTTTGGAGGGAGAATGAAAATATTTTACTTTTCGAGGATTTAACGCGATACGAATTCATCAACGTTGATCTTAGATATTGAGATTAATCGTATTGTACATCTTAATTTTTGCTCGATTAGCATCCGTTCGATATTTCGTTTTACTAGAGTTTAATGCCATATTCGTTCAAGAAGGTCGTATACGCTCGACGATACGTTTGACGAGGTGGCGAGATCTGATCAATTTCGTTCACGGGCACGTTATTTATCGATTATCGTTACGATGAAATATTTAAGTCAAATTTACAATATCATTACGTTTAGACCCGTTTCTCTTTCTAAAAACCAGAGATTGACATCTGATTTATCGAATGGTAACGCGACGATTTACGTTGAAATAATTATTACGCATGACTATTGTGATATTGTGATCGCGTGTTACATAAAGCGAAATCGTAGCATTTCTGTATCGCGATATTGCGTATCTGGATCATGATACAGAGACACCCGTCCAGACGAGGCCACCAGTCAATGGCAAAGAGGCATAAACCTTTGTGGTATTTATAGTATACATTTATAGTATCATAGTGAACGCTCATATTCTTTGCTATTGGATAAGTTATACAGCAGAAGTCTGATTATTATCCGAGTTTCATTCTATTCATAGCAGGACGATCCCGGATAGCCGAGGCCATTCCAAGAATCGAATCGTGCTATCGAAATCTCGTTAACGAAAGAATCGAATATACACATGTGCTTATATACACACGTATAAGTATTTTTATATTTTCCTTTAATTCGACTCTTAAAATTCGACTTTCTTCAAATTCCACTCTGAAAGGTCTAGAAATAATGCTGGAAATCTTTGGATCCGATCGGAGCCATCGGATAATAATTTGATCGAACCGAGATGAGAGGACCGGTGATAGCTAAATCTACGTTGGCGTCGCGTTTCAACGACGAGCACCCATAATCGGCGGCAACGTGCGCGCGTAAAATAATTCCCGGCAAATTCCGCTCCAACCCTGTCCGAATGAAATTCTCCGTCGGTTTCCCACGCGCGTATATACACGAACACATATACACACGTATATACAGACGCCATATGCCCTTGTACATCCCGATTCATAAGTATCAGCTCGTTTGCGAAAAATTTGGTGAAACCAGAGTATCAGGGCAGTTCGTTTAAAAATGTACAGTGTACGTTGTATTTGCTATAGCATTTCGTACTTTTGCGCAACTAGAAAAATTTCGTACTACGGGAAGAATAAAACGATTAAAAGTCCTTTAAATAGGCTTAAAAGTATTGCGAAATATCATCGTGGTCTACCGATAGGATACCGATGCAATAAATAGGCGGTACAATAAGATCTAAAATGTTTTACGTACATACTCTGAATATATCGATGAAAAATGTCTATAGGCGCGCAAATACTTCCACAAAGTATCGCACCGTGTATATTTTCTAACTGCGTATACATCTTCTTTTCGCTTTTTTCTCCATTGATTTCAAATTTTACCGACATAATACGAAATGTTTTACATCGCGCGGTGTTATACTTTGCGTAATGCAAGCGTAAAAGTTTTCTGTGGTAGATGTTGAAACGTTTTCGCGAGCCACTTATACCAACGCGTAGCTGGTTTCGTTTAAAGTGGTAAATCTTCTTTTATGGTATTTATGAACGGGACTGTACATATGGCACGACCCAGCGATGGGTTATTTCGCTGTTCTTCGTACAATTAGGAATTCTTGTCGTCGTTCGCGACGACGCGACGCGCGCCCAAGCGCCAGATGAAAAGCGCTACGACGAGGAAAAGGGAGCGCGCGAGCTGGCGGATTCTGTGGGAAACGGAGAGGCGAAGCGAAGGAGGGATCGATATGTAGCGACCCGAACGTCGCGACCGGATCTAGGAAAAGCGGCTCGAGGCTTGCACGCGCGTCATCGTCGCGACGGAGAAAATTTTTCGAAATTGATAAAGAGGAACTTGGAAAACTTGTTGCGCGAATAGGCGATAGTTTATCAGAAGAGGCTGAATAAGGAGAAACAGGCAGGAGATGGAGCATGTTGTCGGAGTCGGTGAATTCCAATAAGCTGGAAAATTGAAATTACCGATATGGTTGAGAATGTTGCGTTAATACTGTTCGAACGATGACGAGAACTTGAACGGTAGAGCGTCGAAGACGAGTCGATAGAGCGAGAGAGACAAGAGGAAGAAGAATCTTGATTGCTTGTCGTATGCAAACTCGTACGTCAAACGATAAACTCAGGACCTATCCTACCATGAAATTTTCGGCTTTTCGTGGTATATAAGCAGCCGAGGTTACGAAAATCTCAATCCAATAACCAAACGACGCTGTAAGAGTTGCTCGAACGATCGAATTGCTCGCTGTGACGTTGAAATGCGGTACAGTTTCCTTTCGTTCCTTCGTGAAACGGAGGTACCAATGACAGATAGAACGGTCGAATTGATGTCATTTTTTTTCTATATATTATTCGTTGTTCGCTGCAAGCTGTCGCGTTACGGTTGAGTAACGGCATTGTAAATTTGCGGTGCGCCTCTTTCCCACGTCTGTCTCACCGCTTCCGGCATACCGTCAACACTGTACAGTATGCACTGTACATTGTGAGTACGTAGCAGCGATAGCACTCTATCGGAATTCGTATAGTTACGAGCAAATTACCACCCGATATTACCGATTTTTCTTACTTATAGTAATTTTCGACTTTTCATTTTCTCGGCCGTTCCTACAAATACATACCGTTGTCAAAGGTGTTAATCGGTTCTTTTTAGGTCACGTATTCGGCGGATCTCGCAATTGAGATACCAGGAAACTTGAGTCAAGGCGGTTCCTGGTATCGTTTAGACTACAGTCCTGCCGTTGGTTATCCGCCACCAAATACCACCATAGCCGCTACCGACATCGGCGATGTGATCAAATTCAAGGATGGACTTCCTGGCACTAGATACGAATTTTGGTTATACTATAGCAATAGCACGCTTCACGATTGGCTGACATGGACTGCGTCGATAACTACAGGTACCGTAAATTTTACTCGCGATACGTGTTTCAGACGAAACCCATCGTTCGAGTTATTCGGAAACCAGGCGGAATCTACTTTCGCTGAAACCGCAGAAAACTCATCTTCTTCCTGATTTCCATGACTTTGAAGTACTTCATAGAAATCGACGTAACGAACAACTTGTTCCTATATTAATCTATATTATCTATATATAATCCTATACATAAAATCGGCGGTCGGAATTAACTGTCGGTATCGCTATAGTAAATTCCGCAAAACGCAAACATTTTTCCTCCCTTCTTACTCGCTTCTCTCTCTCTCTCTCTCTCTCTTTCTCCCTATGCTACGTCTCTATGCTTCCCCCGGGATTCCACCTTTCTCCGCTGTTTTTTTTTCTTTTCTCTTTAATTTACTTTATTCTATTAAAATTCCCCCGTCCGTCAACTCCTTCTCCGTGTGCTCTTTCTCACTTTTCCTTCCTTACTCTTTCTTCCGATTCACCCAAAAACCTGATAAAATGTTTCCTCCATTTCGTAATTGTAAAGTATTTGTATAATCTAATTTAATTCGATCCAATCTGATCCGATCTAACACAATGTAACGATAATTAGTCGATACGGCGTAAACATTTTTCAATACTTGAAATTAGTCTATAAAGTTGTCAAGCAGGCGATATCTAAATAGACGTTGCATCGAAAGTATCGTGAGATATTAATTAAAACTCCTAACGAGATCGACTTTTAATCACGTTCTTACTTTGCTCTCTGCTCGGTTTTGCAAATTACTCGCGACAACCGGACAGGGCAGCGGGTATCGAATGAAAATGAATAGGTTTTTCGTTGAGAAACGTTTGTTTCGCAGCCCCGGATCCGCCATCGAACCTCACGGTCTCGGTGCGAAATGGAAAGACGGCGATAGTTTATTGGGCGCCACCAGCCCAAGGCAATTATTCCGGTTTTCGGTTAAGGGTGCAAAGTTTCAGCGACACCGGAAATCCAAAAACCAGCGTCATTCCTGCGGACGCGGTTCCCTATGTGCTGCGTGATCTCATCCCTGGGGCTACGTATTCTCTTCAGCTTTTCACCGTATTAGACACCAAAGAAAGCGTGGCGTACACCAGCAGGAATTTCACCACTAGTGAGTCGATCGAATTACACGCGCGCTTCGCTACGCTTCCGCTCCGCGAGATTACAAATTATTTCGATTACAAACCAACCAACGACAGTATAGATAGCACGTGTCTTTTATTCTTATAGAACCCAACACACCGGGCAAGTTTATCGTGTGGTTTAGGAACGAGACGACTTTGCTAGTCCTCTGGCAACCGCCCTATCCTGCTGGCATTTACACGCATTACAAAGTTAGTATAGATCCCGCTGATGCCATAGAATCCGTTCTTTACGTGGAGAAAGAAGGAGAACCTCCCGGGCCTGCACAGGCTGCTTTCAAAGGACTCGTCCCTGGTAAGATATTTATTCAAATAATTTAACGTAGCGCGAAGAAAATTTTGTAACTCGTCGTTTTGATGCCCTATTTCTGGTCACCGCAGGCAGAGCTTACAATATTTCCGTTCAAACGGTGTCGGAGGACGAAACCTCCGCTCCCACGACTGCTCAGTATCGAACGGTGCCATTACGTCCCCTCAACGTTACGTTCGACAAGTCTTCCATAACGTCCACTTCCTTTCGCGTTTTCTGGAATCGGCCCGAAGGAAACTCCGAATTCGACAAGTATCAGATATCTTTGGGTGGTAACAGAAGACTAGCGCCGGTTACCAGGAACAGAGACGACGAGAGCAAATGGGAATTCAAAGATTTAGAGCCGGGCAAAACTTACCAGGTGGTTGTGAAGACAGTCTCGGGAAAGGTTACCAGTTGGCCAGCTAACGGAGACGTTACTTTAAGTAAGTTTTCCTACTTTCTACTTCGTTGTCAACGACTTTCTTTCTACTTTGTTTCTATTTCATCTTTTCCCAATCCACTGTGTAGATGTATAGATGTACAGAGCGTATACATGCACGTGTACAGTCGGCGTTCGAGTGGCAAATAATTTATAAGTATCGCTTGAAAATTAAGATACGTTTTGCTAGCGACAAAAGTTATTCAACTTTTTGGTATCGAACGACGTCTTTGGCGTTGTTATTAGATCGTGAATGTCTTTTAAAAATTAGTATACGCTAGAAGTAAAACGAGCAACGATATTATTTACTCTCGCTAAATATCGCGGCTTATTATTATATAGTAAATAATTAACCGTCGAAACGATTTTGTCAACTTTGTAAAGTATAAAAAAGGGTAAAGTTTTGCGGTAAATATCCTGTAACTTTCATCTACATTTTCCGATTTCTTTTTAACTCTAACGATACGAACGCGATAGTCGTATTATGTCATACGCTGTAGAAATTGTTTATATAACACGCATGATACACTTGGCGAATGCGTTTCTCTAAGCGTCGAAATATTTTTCCGAGTCATTATATATTTTGTTACGTTAGATCGAGCGCGTCGGACGTGTTTGTGCGTGCGTCGTGTAAAATACGTAGGCGACGATGCACGGTGTCGAGTCGGTGACACAGCTTACACAGCCACACAGTCGGTGGCTACAGACGG